GGGCGCGGCGGCCGGCCCGGGCGGGAAGCAGCTGCGGAGGCCGCCGCGGTCCGGGGCGGCGCCCTCGGAGCTAAGGTGCGAGAGCGTGGACAGCGTCTTGAGGACACGGCTCATGAAGCTGCCCACCGAGCGCGCTGAGGACGGCGAGGAGGGCGCGGCCGGCCCGGGGCCCCCCGCGCCGCCGCCACCCGCGCGGCCGCTCCGGAACAGCCGCTTGCTGAAGGAGCGCTTCTCCTTCCCGCCCGCCGCCGCAGCCACAGGCGGCCCGGGCCCGGGCGCCGTTACCTTGGACATGGCGGCGGCCGCCGAAGCGCATCACCGCGACCGCCCGCCTGGCCCGCGGCCCCGCCACGGCCGCCGCCGCATTCCGCCGCGCCTCACCGGGCCCGGGTGCTTGACGCCCCACACACCTCACAACGCTGCGGAGCCAGCAAGCGAGCGAGGGGGCGGGCGGGCACGCGCGCGCGCGGCCCGCCCAGCTGGGCAGCTCACGTGACTCACCTCCCGACACCTCCCGGCCCGCTCTGAAGCCACAACGGCCGCCATGTTGACTATGGGAACGGAACGGCCTTTCCAGCCAGACCAAATGACTGGAGGCTAGCGAGGCAGTTCTGGGGCGTGAAGCCTGAGAGAGGCCATGTCTAGTGTGGGCTCGTCTACTAGCACTAAGCAGCGGAACAGCGGACCCCCAGCTGTGGCCCTCTGGCTTTGCTGATCGGATGGCAAGATATCCGAAGAAGGTGCAGAAATCAAGCTATTATCCCTTTTCCAGACGGTGACAGAGCTGCTGGACATATCCGTTTCCTTTTGTGGTCAAGTGAGCTCCGTCTGTCTCTGAGGGACATTGCAGATCCTATGGCCTGCACACTTCCCGAGGGCTGTCACAGAGCCTGGCACATTCCTGTGGGTTTTTCTTCCAGGCTGCACCTTGGGATCCCAGGGAAACGACGTTATTAGAATTACCTTCCTTTTCAGATCAGCCTTAAAAACACCTCTGAGCTCTCCCCTTATTCATTCATTCGTTCAACAGTTACAGAGCACCTGTTATGTGCCAGGCACTGTGTTAGACCCTGGGAATACTACAAAGAATGAAACCAACACGGTTTCTGCCTGTCATCTTACACTTTTAGTGGATGCTTAGAATTTATTTGTTCCTTATATTATGACAAGCATGGAATATCTTTAATCTTCAATTCAATGCCTTCAAAATTACCCTCACTCAAAGCCAAGTTTGATTCAAATCCCTAAACTTGACCTCTACACCAAAGGGCGCAGACACACAACTGTCATGGTGACCAGACAGGTCATAACAATCAATGAAGAATCCTGGTGAAGCATCATCTGCTGACCTATTAATATTTCAAGTGACTTGGCTCTCAGTGTTGGGAAAAATATAGGGAATGATAGAGACAGTAGCAAACTTCAAATTAACATTCTTCTAAAGAGTGGCTGCCACTCAGCTCTAGCCACTTGTTCCCATGTGAGAATGGGGGATGCCAAATCATCTGATTTTTAAAAGAAGGTGAAAATCCTATTTTTAAATGTCACTTCACTTAGAAAAGTTGGGGGGGCATTATGTATTTGGACTGCCTTCAACCCCAAAAGGGCTACAGTAGTTTGTGGCCTCTTCTTTATATGTTCTTTTTGCCAACAGAGCAAAAAGAACAGTTCTTTTTACTACAGAAAGGAGAGATCAGGGAAGAGAGATCCCTTCCCTTTTTAAAAAAACATGAAGGCCACCTTACTCCTACTTCAGTAAATAGCTTTGTCTCTGGGTTTCCATCCCCTAGAAAGTAGGGTACTATGGTGATACCCCTAGGGTGCTCTGCATGGCCTGAAATCACTTCCACTCCCACAGTCTACTCAAAATACCCATTCCTCGCTGCACCTTGAGCTTATCTGGACATCAAGAGGAAAGGGGTCTGATCTTTCATGCTAAAAGATGAACACAATGGCACTCAACCTTTGCACACATTTGCTGCTCCAAGCCTTTGTCCATTCCAATCCCTCTTTCCTTGAACGTCTTCACATAGCTAACCTCTTCTCATCCTTAAAGTCTCACCTTAGGCATCCATTCCCTCCAGAAGGTATCCCTTCCACTGGCTCTCTTGGTACCTTTCAGCCATGACACTGACTTGACCACACTGGAATTCAGTTTCCAGTCTGTCACCTTCACTTCAACCTAGAAGACGCCCGTGCCCTCAGTGAGTACTCAGTAAGGTAAGTATCATATTGCAGATGGACTGTTTGGTAACAGTATATCTAAAAATATATATCTGAGGGCCGGGGATTTAGCTCAGTGGTTTCGACACCTGCTGTGCAAGCGCAAGGACCCAAGTTCGATCCCCGATACCAAAAAAAATATATATATATACAGTAAAAATATATATCTGAACTCTTAGGTGGGACTCCTGAGAACTCCATTAATAGTCTGGCCCTTCCTATGATTCTAGGCCTACGGGTTTCCAAGGGGCCCTGGAGCCATTCAGCTTGGCCAAAAAGGTTTGAAGAGTCTTGAGTTGGAGAGCTTAGAAGATGGTCATTCTTTTAAGGCTAACTCCAAACAAATTTCTCTAGTAAACCTTCAGTCTAGGGATATAGCTCAGAGGTAGATTACTTCCCTAGTGTGTGCAAGGCCTTGGGTTTGATCCCCAGCACTGCAAAACAACACCAGAAAGTGGTCATTCTTCCACTGGCTCTCTGTTACACTGAGAGAAAGGAAGGTACAGGGGGAAAAATGGAAGTAACTGCAGTGAGTATCAACATGGCCTGTGTGTTTCCTCCATCCCTGCAGCTATATTCTTAGGCCGAAGCCTAAGTATATCCAGTGGTTTCAGTCTAAGGATGTACTTGACATTTCATACCTGACACCTATTGTCAGGCTGACTTCCTGAAAGGCTTTATTCAGCCTGCAATGAATAGGGAACACTCATTTCCTGTCCTGAGATACTGTTGAGTTTTACAGCCTTTTCCTTTTTGGAAAATTTTACTGAACAATAACCCAGATGTCATTGCCATGCTTGGGATCTCATAAAGACTGAGAATGAATAAGTTAACATTATTTAACGCTTAAGAGATCTGGAGAAAATTACCTATTTCCTTGAGAATTGGTAAAAGGAGTAATGCCTATTTCTTCTCATTTTTTGAGGATATTAGTGTATTCAGCAATGCATTCAACTATCTCATTCTTTGCTGGTAAGTAGCAAACAGGCATTAATATACTTTATTAAACATGAAAAGAAGTTTGATAAGCTCACATGGCATATTAATGTGCTGATGTACAAATAAGATTGAACAGCACATGCCTGTCTTTCAGTTGACTAACTTCCTATATGAAAAGTATATGGAATTAGGGAGGACAACTGAAGCTCCCATGATGAAAACTGGGCAGGGATTGGGGAGAAGATGCTCCCCTTCCCACCTCTCTTAGCTAGAACCAAGAAAGGTGGAACTAAGAAAGGGCAACTGCTCTACATACATACCACCCTGAACATGCCTGATCTTGCCTAATCTCAGAAACTAGCCAGGATTGAACCTGATTACTGTTTGGACGGAAGAAAGGCCAAGCAGATGCTCCTACCTGGATTTTGGCTCTGGAAGTGTTGACACAAGTTCAGTTGGAGGTAATGCAGCAAGTGAGTGAATCTGGTAACTACATTTTCAACAGTGAGGCCTCCAGTAGTGTACAGTGCCAGGAAGGTGGCTGCTTTAGTGGCAGGTTCTTACCAGTGTCTGCCTCACTGGGTTTCTGCCCAAGCCTGTTTCTCCAGATCTGTTTTTTTCTGTGAGTGAACCTGATAGGCTTCCTATAAATTCCTTTGTTGCTGCAACTAAACAGTGCTGTTTCTGTGGTTTGCAATCAAGAAAATAACTAGCAGTACATTTTTATTAGCAAGTTGGATTTTTTACTAGCGTGAGTTACCTGTGTATATCATCTGCCTATTTTTCTTTCTGATGTATTCATTTTATAAATGTTGGATGATAAATAGTACTTTGTATATGAATTATGTTATTCTTTAATCCATACCAGTTCATTTGGTTGTTTACCTTTCTTTATGATTTAGGTCTAGATGTCCGCCCAAAGCCTCATGTGGTCATAGGCAGCTGAATCAAGACTGTGTGATGCTGGGATTGAGGGTGGGTGATTACTAAATCAGTCCACTGATTGGTTTGGCACCACCCTAATCCCAGTACCTGGATACAATATGAGGGACAGAAAGAGGCTTGACTTCTCCCTTGTTGCTTCTGCTACTGTGTGAGCACCATGAACTGCCATCCTCTGCCATACCACCCTGCCTTGGAGCCAGGACTGAAACCTCTACAAACTGGGACCTAAATAAACCTTTCCCTCTGTAATTTGGGGGGTATTTTGTCTCAGCAACAAGAGAAAAGTAAGTAAGACACCTTTCAACCATGTTCATGATTTTTCAGATCACACAGAGAATTTTGCTTATTTTATATAGTCAAACAATGAGTCTTTTTCATATTTTTTGACATGCTTAGACAAACAACCTTTCTCCATTCCCAGATCATAATACTACTAATCCGTGTTTTTGTTTAATTCTGTTATTGGGTTTTCTTCTCCTTACTTTTAATGTTTTCTCCCTTAGGACTTTATTTTTGCATGAGAAATGAGGTAGGGGTCTACCATGGTTTGGATATCATTCGTCCCCACCAAAACTTGTGTTGAAGTTTGGTTCCTGTGTGGCAGTGTCAGGAGGTGAGACCCAGTGGGAGGTGTCTGGGACATGGGCCCAGAGCCTCGTGAAGGGATGGATCCTTTTCTCAGATGAATTTGTTCTTGCTCTCACGAGACTGGATTCATTACCCACAAGAGCAGGTCTTATAAAGCGAGTCTGGCTGCCTCTGCTTTTTTGTGCTTCTCTTCCACACAGCCCAATTGCCTTTCCATTTCTGCCCTGAGTTGAGGCGTCTGGAGGCTCTCTCCACATGCTGCCACCAGATCTTGGACTTCCCAGCCTCCAGAAGCGTGAACTAAAATAAACCTCTTTTCTTTATAAATGACCTAGTCTCAGGTGTTCTGTTACAGCAACATAAAAAATAGCCTAACACAGCATCTTGCCCTTTCCCTACCCTACATGGCTAGCCAATTGTCTCAGCATCATTTTGGTTTTTTTTTTTTGGTACCAGGGATTGAACTTGGGTCCTTGTGCTTGTGCAGCAGGTGACGAAACCACTGAGCTAAATCCCCAGCCCTCAGCATCATTTTTAAACAATAATCTAATCTTTCCCCTTTAAAATGATGCTTTCATCACCTCTTAAACTTTACTACATTTAGGATTGTTTTAAAAAAACTATTCTATCCCATCTCTATATTCCAGAGTAATGCAGATTGAGAATATATGGAAATGTTTGATTGGGGAAACTTCCTAGAGTTTTATTAGGTATTATTTTCTTATTTTCTCAAATGAACTTAGTCCTTGGGGGATTAATTTATGTAGATTAATTATGAAAAATTGACCTCACATTCATCTTATCTGACAATAAAGTATATGTTTTAAAAATTATACCAGACTTTAATGTTCCTCAAAGAACTGTAGTTTCCCTCCATAGGACTTCCATGGGCACAAATTAAATTTAGTCCAGCCAGGTACAGTGGCTCACCTTGTAATCCCAGGTACTCTGGAGGGCAAGACAGGAGACTGATGAGGCAGGAGGATCCAAAGTTCAAGGTCAGCCTGTCCCTAGGTAAAATTTTAACAAGAACTTGGGATGTTCTTCAGTGGTAGAACATTTGCCTAGCATGTGCAAAGTTCTTGGTTCAGCCCCCAGTGATACACACACATACACACACATATACACACACACGTTTATTCCTATTATTGCTACTATGAATGGGATATTTTTATACCTTCTTTTTTTGCCTTTTGTCAATAGGGCAAAATTATCTTTGTAGCCACCTACCTTGATGAACTTTGGTTCTTTCTCATAATATTCAATAGATTCTCTTGGGTTTTTCAGGAATTCGTGTTGATGCATGAGATAAGAATCTTGCCTCTTCTTTCATCATATTCATACCTCATCTTTTTTTCCTCTTGTCTAATTCCCCTTCCAGAATTCTGTTAACAATAGGAATTAGAGTAAGAAATCTCCATTGTTCTTGACATTAATAGCGAATCTCCCAGAGCTTCACCATTAAGCATAATGCTTGCTTTTGGTTTGATATATATATTATTTATTGCATTAAAGTGGTATCCATTTATTCCTACTTCAGAAAGCATTATTATGAGAAATGGGTCTTGAGTTTTATTAAGTACCTTCTGGGCATCAACAAAGATGAGCATCTGCTCTTTTCTCCTTTCATCTGTATACCTATCGGAAGTTCTTGGTTGCAAACAACATAAACCACCTTTTACTAACTTGAGCTAGAAAAGGAATTCTTTGGAAGGATATTGAGCAGCTTACAGAATTTCTGGAAAAGCTCCAGAGTCAGACTTGGGAAGCCAAGGAAAACAGTACATAGCCAAGGTCCTGCTCCAGAAAATGTTGCTTAAGATGTCATTTCACCAGAAGGGGTCCAAGGAGGGTCCCAAAGTGGAGCCAGAGGACTTAACCCCACCCTACCTATAGAATTAAGCTGCTGGCTTGCTGACTCCCATCACAGAAGAAGAATTTTCAGGACTGGTCAGTAAGAGGCATGGAAAGGATTTAGTAAGAAGAAATTTAAAATTTACACTCTTGAGAGTGGAGTGCAGTCATTCAGAGAAATGGGACATTGTGTGATCCTGAGCTGAGTATATTTATGGGGTCTTGGGAGTCTTCAAGGTGGGTGATCTAGGACGTGTATTCCTACGCGTGTCAGGCTACCCATCTGGCGGGCTACGTCACAATGCAAACTACTTAATGTGTTTGAAGTTGAAGTATGCTGCCCACTGACATTGCTGTGGAGGTCTGTGGGAGGAAGTGCAACTGACAGGTGAAAGGCACAGGTCCAGAGCCCAATTTACAGGCTTATTGTGTCTTTAGGACCCTTAGGGATTTTTTTTTTTTGAGTGAGTTCCTTAAAGGGAAAGGGGCTTGAGTAACTTATGTCTTAAAGCTGCTGCAGTTTTTTTTTAAAGTGTAATTTTGAAATACCATTTTTCTTGTCTCCTTTCTATCTCTATTTCTTCTATCCTGCTTCAGAACCATCAGGGAAGCTGGACACTTGCAGCTCTCATCAAGGTTGGCACCACCACCAAACAGGCTGGCCACACTGATTTGCTCCTGGTTTACTGTGTCCACTATGAGGACTGTTGGATCTTTTCTGCTTGTCTCTGAACTTTTGCTGTCACACCTTTAAACTCAAAGTAGAAGTGTCCACTGGATAGGAATAGGCCCTAGGCTGGTCAGTAACCTCAGAAGTAGGAGAGGATGCATCCTCTCCTTCCAGCTTCTATAGGGGGAAGCAGAGCTGCCTCCTGTCTTCCTTGAGGTCTGCCTGAAAGGAAGATTATTCAGTGCTGGACAGCCAAAAATGACAAACATCCACTATAACCCGCTCCTGTGTAGTGTCATATTGATAGCATTAAATACATTGCTTTACCTATTTACTACAATTTATCATAAATTTTTATATCTATATTTATAATAAGGCCAGCATTAGTGTGTGTGCATGTGTGTGTGTGTGTGTGTGTGTGTGTACTATCTTTGTCAGGTTTTGGTTTTACCAGCTTTTTTAAAAAAATTATGAAGTACCTCTATTTTCTTTAGCGTCTAATTTCAATGATGTGTTTTCAAATGTTGAAAGAAATTACCCTTTGGACCTAGTATGTGATGGGGGAGGGCCAGTTCTTTGAAATAGTTTTTAATTTTCATCCCTGAATATTTTCATCCCTCATTAATTTTAGTCCTTTTATTTTCCCAGGAAATTGCCCATATTTTCCAATTTGTTAGTAAAATCTTGCAGTGAACTTTGTGAAAGTTGCATTGTTTCTTAATAGAACCACACGGGTGTGTTAAACATATTCCTCAAGTTGTGATTGTGGTGCAGAATGTTAGCCTCCCCTGTTCTGTACATTCGCTCTTTCCAAAGATGTTCACTGAGTGTCTTAGTTACTTTTCTTGTTGCTAAGACAAAATACCTAACACCCAAAGTTAAAGGTTTACTTGGCTCACAGTTTGTAGAGGTTTCAATTCATAGTTGGCTGGCTCCAAGGCAGGGTGACGTGGCAGAGGGGCATCGCAGAGGAGAAACAGTTCATGGCAAAGCAGGGCAGGCAGAAGGCAGTAAGAAGCAAGCAAGTGACCAGCCGTGATGCTGGCCTTTATGCTCTTTGTATTTACCCTGAGGCCGGGTAGCACTCACACCCTTAATCCTACCATCACACCATGAATCAATCCCAGCATCACACAGCCTAGATCCAGCCACCTCCAAAAACTCCAACCTGTGACTGAATGAGGCTTTGGACATCTAGGCAGAAGCCATAACACCGAGCAGGATTGTACTCCATGCTGTTGGTGCTCCACCAAGATCTTGTGGGATTTTTCATGTTTCTGTGTGTCCGGCCCTCAGCTCTCATGTGCTCTATTTGAATGACTGTGCCTGTGACTCTCTTTATGAAGACTGCTTGCAGGCTACCAACACTACCTCTCAGATGCTCTCGGAGAGATGGAAGAGCCTGGGGGTTTGTCTCCTGGTATGGTTCTTATCCAGTGACAGTTGGCTGCAGGAGTATAGAAAACCAACATCCTTGACTCTGGTCATGACAAATTCTGAGGTGTAACTTATATTCCAGAGCTCCCTGAAGGGTTGAGCTAAAGATACTCTTCCCAGGATCTTGCTCCAAATTCTGTTGTCACTTGACTTCCTTTTCCTTGACCTGGTTCCTCTCACCCTACAATAGTTTGGATCTGAAATGTCCCCCCAAAACTCACTATTGGAAAGTGGTAGAAACCTTTAAGAAGTGGGGGATAGTGGGAGGTTCTAGATTAGTGGGGATGTGACCTTGAAGAAAAGGACTGTGGGATCTCTCCCCTCCCCACAGTCCTTCCCTCTCTTTCTCTCTCCCCCCAACCCAGGCCCCAGCCACCATCAGGTAACAGCTGTGGTACACAATGCACTGCCCATCATAAGGTGTGTTGAGTTTCTGGAATCTTGATTCTTCTATGCCTTGGTGTAGTTTTTTCTGATCATGACTATTTGGAGTTCTATATGCCTCACTTATCTGTATCTCAAATTCTTTTTCCATGCTTGGAAAGTCTTCTGCCATTACTTCTGTGAACAAGTTTTTTTTATGCCCTTGGTGCTATCTTCTCATTTTTCATTGATTTCAGTTCATCTTTATTAATCTTTGCATTGTCTAGCAGCTGTTGAATTGATTTGTTGTGGTCCCTTGCTATTTTTAATAGGTCTTTCATTTTGTTTGCCAACCATAACCCTGTCTTCTAGGTATGATATTCTATCTTTACATTGGTTGACTCTGCTGTATATACTTTAGTAGAATTTTTAATCTCCTGAATTTGTTTTTTTTGTTTTTGTACCAGGGGTTGAACTCAGGCCCTTGCACTTGTGAGGCAGGAGTGGTACCACTGAACTAAATCCCCGGCCCAATCTCCTGAATTTCTATTTGAGTCCATTCTATGGAATTCGGTGCTTTTGTATGTTGGGGAGTCATGATTTCCATGTCTTTTCTAACCCCTTCTATATTTTTTATCTGTATCTACTCTAGATTCACTAATTATTTCCTTCATTATGGTCATTCTTTAATTATCTCTGCTTTATTTCTGTCAAGAGACTTATTATCTACTTTGTTACTTCTGCTGCTATCATTTCATACAATTTAATTGGGTGGCTTTTGATTTCTTCCATTTCAGTGACCCCTTGATTTACTTTGGGCTAGTTGGGGATTATGGGTTGCTTCTTGCTTCTGTGTTTTCTCATTTTCTTTGTTTGTTTGTTTGTTTTCTGCATTGAAGCTTCTAAATTGCTTTCTAGGTAGCTTTATTACTATTATCAAGACCTCTTTAGGAAATGACTATTTTTCAGAGATGTCTTCTAGGTGTAGCTGGCTTTTGGCTTTTGAGTCTGTCCCAAGATCCTTCCTCTCTAATTTATTAGGGATGAGAAGTTGTTGCCTGTTTGGTCTGGCATCTAGTTCTTTGGTACTGGACTATGGTATTATTTACCATCGTTTTACCCAGACAATATCAATATTGGCATACAAAGAACAACTGATCACAACAACTATGTCACCTCAGCCAGGGAGGTAGCTCAGTGGTGCCACACCTGCCTGGCAAGCACAAGGTCCTGAGTTTGATTCCCGGTAAAAAAAAAAAAACAAAAGCACAACAACAACTATGTCACCTTGGCTGAAGTGGTACAATCAGTAATAACAATAGCACCAAGAAAAGTCTGGAAAATGACAAACCTTTAACTATAGGTACAAGATTTATAATTATGCAGCACAATCTAAAACAAATTTAAAAATTATATACAGTGAATATCCACTCAGTGGAGCGATTTTACCCTAAGGGGAGAAAATTATCCCTTAAGGGAAGAAGAGGAAAAGACAGAGAAATAAAAGAAGAGAAAGAGATTAGAAGCAAGGGTGAAGGACAAAGAAAGATTATCCAAGCCTCAGGAAACTGGTGAAGAAGGGGGTCAGGGGGCAAGAAAGAAGGAAGAAACAGAAAAAAGAACAAGACAAAAAAAACTAAACACCTGTTCACACTCATGAAAAAACAAAAACAATAATAAAAAAACACCTCCACTAAATAGCCTGCAAGCAATGAAAGAAAGAAAAGAAAGAAAGAAAGAAAGAAAGAAAGAAAGAAAGAAGAAAGAAAGAGAAATTTCTCTGTGATTTCAAACCTGTGGTTATCTTCTGTGGTCCACAGTTCTGTGGTAGTGTCCAATCCAGGGTGTGACTCTGTTCTGTTCTCATTTGCGGACAAAGGAGGCAGCCAGAGCCCAGATCTGTGCTGGATGATCCCAGCCAACCTGCTGTAGGACTAGGGCAGGGTGCCGGTTCTGGTGCTTTCAACTCCACATAAGTTCAGGCTGGACCTGGCCTCTGGTCGTGGAGCTGGGGCCTAAGCCAGTCAGCTTATAACACTCTGGGTGCCTCTTGTCCACCTGACCATGGCTCCCTGACCCTGGACATCTGTGGTTGTCCCTCTGGACCTCATAGTTTTTGTAAGATGAAATTGTAGAAGATTCTGTTAGTTATTATTTGGATATAATGCAATGGGTCATATGTGATTGTCTGAATGATTTGAGCCTTGGAAATAAAATCAGAGGATAGGAAGAATTTCTAGAAAAGTAGTGTAAGGTAAATATATACAATTTTTCTGCTCTTCACCAACATTTTACTAAAATTACAGTAAAAGCATTTGAACAAAGATGTGAATCTACATAAGAGATATCAGAAAAGGAGAATCCAGTTAATGAGAGATTTTATAAATCAAGGTACCATCAGGAAAACTGAAATCAATTTGTGGATTTCAAATAGGAAGGAGGGAAATTGAGGCTTACCTCACCATAGCAAGGCTGGGAGAATGAAGGGCAGTCAAGACTATAGCATCCCTGCAAGTGAAGGAATGAATCTCAGGAGCAACCCTGGGAATTCTGTATATTTTAAGGGCCAGTCTAGGTCTAGGGTAAGGCTGGTAAGGCAGTCTCCTTGGACCAAATATTGAAGGGACATCAAAGAATATTTTAACACCATATTTTAAAATTTTTTAGTTTGTTCTTAGTTATCTTAATTGACACCTCAGAATAGTACAAGTTCTCAGGTGCACATCATCAGCTCATGATCATCAGTCGTCAGAAAATCCCCCAACGTTGGTATATAGGCAAAGTGAGCAATCAGAAAAGAAGAAGGAGGAGGAGGAGGGGGAGGGGGAGGAGGAAGAGGAAGAGGAAGAAGAAGGAGGAGGAGGAGGAGAAGAAGGAGAAGGAAATTTGGAAGAAATTTAGACAAAGCAGACAGCCAAAGGAAGGTTTTTTAAAAAAAAATTATACTTAACACATCCAAAGAGATAAGAAAATATATGGCATCTATTAAAAACATGATTAAAAAATAAGAATATATGGAAAGGGAACCAAGGAATGGAGAGAGGCAAGGGGAAGTAAAAAGAATTAAAATATCTTATGTATGTGTACCAACTCCCCTCAATGAATGTGATCACTATGTGCAGCAAACATATACTACTGAATTTTTGTAAAGAAAAAATGACAATATAAATGGCTTTGGGAATTAAATATTGGGTAGAGTAAATTTAAAATTGAAAAAAAGAGTTGGAAGATAAAGTTGCAGAAATCTCCTAGAAAGCAGAATAAAACAGAAAACAGATGGAGAAACAGAAAGATAATAGAATTATAGAATTAATTCATTAAATTTCAATAATCCACTGAAAGGAATTGTTTAAAGACAGCAGTAATTTCCACCAGGAAGTAATAGAAGAAAATGTCCAGAACTGAAGTACATGAGTGTCCAGATTGAAGATATCCAGTGCAATGTGTTTTACAAAGGGCTGTGTGAAGAAATGCAATCGGGAAACTTTAGAACACCAAAAACAAAAATATCTTGGGCCGGGGATTTAGCT